ATCTAAACGCCTCTTTTCGACTAAGCCAACCGTAGGTAACACGAAGTTTTGGATTGTGGAGCGACTGACTCGCCGTATCGCCCGATTTCAATATCATATCATACCTTACCACATGTATTTTTCCTATCAATTAAAAGGAAGCGAACCTCATCGTCTTTATCTTTGATAGCAAATTTTGTGAAATATGATAATTCACCTTGATAAAACAGATCCAATACAGTATATAAGTAAAGTAGACTAATGATCAATGAAGTGATTGTTTATATGCTCACCTTTACCACAACCGAATTCAATGAAACATCCATCTGGCTGTAATAATTTCAGCCTTTCCATATGACCTAAAAGTGATGCCTTTTTAAAACGAAATATAATCAGTACTGAAAAAAATAAAATATATTATGATTTTTTACATTAATTAATTTTACCTGTTGAATAACATGCTTACTATTTGTTATGATTTCTCTAGAAAATGCATACGTAAAGTATCGTTAGTATCGCAATATATATATATATATAATATATTTGTTCATGTATCAGGAATTCTTACTTTTTTTCCTTTAAAACTTCGTGATCCAATACCAAACTCTTAAAATTTGTGGGAACAAACTTTTGAAACAAATAATTTACATTATTAATCAGTGAATCTAAGATAACTCTGAAAGTGAGACTTTTTCTTCCTCAGCAAACTTAGATGGATAGGATAATGTGCAATTAACATCAAGAGAGAAATAAGGTGGATTCGGTCGTGGACGTGAATTGCATTTTTGTGCAAGATGTTTTTCGAGTTCGTCTTTGTACACCGTATTAATAATTAGGTAACTAAAGGTAAGGTTAAAAAAAAACTATTACATATTATTTTTAAGATACTAACTGAGATTTATCATATGGACATGGAATACGCTCTCTTGTAGTTGGATTTGGATCACTTGCTAAATGCTCTCCACAGTAATTGTTGCCAATTTTTGTGGGAAGATGGCAGTATCGTCTTCATAAATGTCACCAATATGCTAATATCAGCATCATAGACATAATATACATAAATCGTTCATTAAGTTCATTAACCTGCCTTTTACGCTTTACCCAGAAATGACATTGACGTGGCTGACCGAAAGTAGAAAAGGATAAGGGTAATAAATTTATATAAATTAAAAAATAATTAATATTATTAATAAACATCGTCTTTGTGCATTACATTATCCGGAGGTGACGGTATGGCCACCGCTTCCTTTTTTAAATGTCTCGATTTTTGTTCTTTTGGCATTTAGTTTATGAGCAAATTAATTATCGTTATCAAAAAAATTTCCGGTAATTATGTACAATCAATGCACTTCTAGAATACAGCTCGTAACATAATACATAATGTCATTTTCATCAACGTTAATTTTAACTCCCTTTATAATAATGTTCACTGTAAAGAGTGCCAAAGAGCAACTTCTCTCTCAAGGCGAATCGTCGGCTTTGGCGAGTCCTGATCAATCATTTTCAGATTTAGAAGTTATGGATCAGCATTATTTTACTTTCTCGACACGTGCTTTAAATATGCCTCCGCCTTTACCAAACGAGCGTGAAAATACAGAATTTACTCCCACTTGGACTGTTGAGTTACCACATACAACCACTTCAAATTTCTTACAAATACCAATGAAAATAGAAGCAGAAACGGAGACACCAACACTAGCACCGTATTTGAAATTCGAAAAACACGAAGTAGAACATTTCGGCTCTTTACCTACTGAAGTTGAGGAATTAATGCAGTCTGCTGGTGGGTTTGGCTTTTTTGTACGCGTAGCGTATTTCAAAATTATAATAAGGAGTGGTGATATTGGTGTTTCTAATCGTTTGAGAGATATTTAGCTGGTTTATCAAGTGAGCATATTTCCTTACAGAAGTATATGACGGAATTTTGAGCTGGACTACTGGTTATGCTGCAGTGGTAACTAGCACTTGTTGCTACGTTGGGACTACAAAAAAGATCACGACAAAGTTTGTAATTTATTATTTTAATTTAAAATAACCAGATTATACAAACTAGCTGACCAATTTTCTTTACAGCAGCCGATTAAACGACCTGATACTGTCTATAAGTTTCAAATGCCCGTTTGTGATGATGAACCGATTGATTCAGATAAACTTCCTCTGGTGTGCTTAATTCCTTCGGCTGAA